TAAGCACAATTATTCCAGATATTACAGGTTCCGACAAGTAAAGAATTTTTATAGTCCTGCCACAAATAAGCTATATATTGATTATTGACCATTTGTGACATGCTATAACGAGCAAAAATATAAAAAAAACTAATAGGTAGGTTTAAAATTAATAAATACAAATGTATTCTGACAGTGAATGAGTTAATTATGCTTTCTATTTGCAAAATTCCTCAACCTTAACGCAAAATAAGAAAAAAAATGAATTTTTAAGAAATTTGCGGGATTTCCCGGGATAAGAAAAATTTCCCGGGATATATCCCGGGTTAAAAAAACAACCGGGATCCCGGAATCCCGTTTGAGAAACCCTAGTTCGTATGGACTCGATGTACAGTACGATCCTCTGAGGGCAGGTAGTTAGACGATAGATTGGCCCAGGCGATAATCGGCGGCGATAATGTTTGATAGGACGGCGGGATAATCCAAGACAGGAACGAACACTTGACGTCGACCAACTATCGATGACGGACAAACACCCGAACGTCATCGATTTGGTTCTCTTATTTTGGGGGTCCTCCCCCTCACTGTTCATGCCTTTTTTTGGTAAATTGTAAAGTCCGTGTCCAATAGCGATTTTTTTCGTTAGGTTTCTGGTGACATATTCAGAAAATGTGTCACTTCTAGAAAAGGTAGCAAGTCCGTGGGAAAAAATAAAATCATATTTTTTTTTAAATCTTTCGTCAAGTCCGGGCTCTTACATAATTCAAGAAATCAATTTTCTATATTTTTGTTAATTAAGGATATCTAAACAAATTTTTTTCAAATATAAAAAAATTAAAATTATGTCATTGTCTGTTATGGACCATTTATTTCTTAATTATACTCAAAATATGTAAAGTTCATTATTGTGTAATAAATAATTATCATCTATAAAAATTTTAAAACATTTCAAGCATTTTTATTGTGACATGCTTCTCTGCTAGACACTTGATAAAATGGTAGTACTTGATTCCTTTGATTCTTGGTTGTGCAGACGGCCTCTAGGTTCGTATTAGGGTTTCTCATTTCCCGGTCTTTTGCTTGTCCCGGGATCCCGGGATAAAAGTGAACTGTTTCCCGGGATCCCGGGAAATCCCGGGATAGAATTAATTATTATTAAGCTATACAAAATATCTTGAAATCAAATGATATAATTATTTTCCATTTTTTAAAGTAATTTTAAAGTTCTGTAACATCCAAAATCATATTAATAATGCTTTGTAAGGTCTATAGGCCTATAATATAAATTACCTTTAAATAACGTAGAAATTTTCACAAATAGAAAAAAATTAATTAAAGTTTGCTGGAAACTGCATACAACAACAACAACAAAAAAATGTTTTGAATTGAGTTAAAAATTAAAAAAAATGAACTTATAATTTAGAAGGTAATTTTCGTTTTTTAAATAAAATATAATACAAAATATTGCAAACTTTTATAAGATTTTAAAAAGCAAAGATGGTCAATACTCCAATAACTCACTCTAATTCTTATTTTAGTAATGAAAAGTCTTGCCACCGAGAATGCCCTTTCCGATTCAATTGATGTGATTGGAATAGTGTTTAATGCATTTAAGAGAAGACAGATATTATGTGTTTTTTCACCTGTAGCCTGGAAGATTTCGAGTTCGTTTTCGAGATTGTAGTACTTCTTTCGCTCTCTTGTATTCTTGATTTGTCTACCTTGGCTGCTTTAATAGCGGCATCAAGCTTAGAGCTCGATAATTCGGCAATTCGTTTGGCTTTAATAATCAGGTTTATGAAGAAAAACTTCATACTTGCAGACTTTGTACTCGTTTGTATCCTTGCCCAATTTGCACAATCTGGCTTCAGGCATTTATTGAAGCTACCGGGCATGGTTAAAACTCAAGACAGCGTAAGCACAATTATTCCAGATATTACAGGTTCCGACAAGTAAAGAATTTTTATAGTCCTGCCACAAATATGATATATATTGATTATTGACCATTTGTGACATGCTATAACGAGCAAAAAATTAAAAAAACTAATAGGTAGGTTTAAAATTAATAAATACAAATGTATTCTGACAGTGAATGAGTTAATTATGCTTTCTATTTGCAAAATTCCTCAACCTTAACGCAAAATAAGAAAAAAAATGAATTTTTAAGAAATTTGCGGGATTTCCCGGGATAAGAAAAATTTCCCGGGATATTTCCCGGGTTAAAAAAACAACCGGGATCCCGGAATCCCGTTTGAGAAACCCTAGTTCGTATGGACTCGATGTACAGTACGATCCTCTGAGGGCAGGTAGTTAGACGATAGATTGGCCCAGGCGATAATCGGCGGCGATAATGTTTGATAGGACGGCGGGATAATCCAAGACAGGAACGAACACTTGACGTCGACCAACTATCGATGACGGACAAACACCCGAACGTCATCGATTTGGTTCTCTTATTTTGGGGGTCCTCCCCCTCACTGTTCATGCCTTTTTTTGGTAAATTGTAAAGTCCGTGTCCAATAGCGATTTTTTTCGTTAGGTTTCCGGTGACATATTCAGAAAATGTGTCACTTCTAGAAAAGGTAGCAAGTCCGTGGGAAAAAATAAAATCATATTTTTTTTTTAATCTTTCGTCAAGTCCGGGCTCTTACATTATGTACACATAAAATTTCATTAAATATACATTGATAATTATTAAAAATATATTCTTTTTATGGTTAGATTGAACATTTCGGGTTTGTCAAACAAACTAGATGTGATGAAGATGGATTAGACCATTTTTCACAGAAAGCCTTTTTAAAACATTAAGCAAATAAAGTATCATCGAAAACACAAAAAAGCTGCTGTAACAAAATTATTCATTTTTCTCTGCTTCGACCTTATGGCTGACTTTCTGACATGTCAACTTGCACAGCCGCTAACGCCTCAGCATACAACGGTGCAATTCGATGTTCGTTTAAAAACGTGATAAATACAGATAAAGCGGAAATCGATGCTTGTAACTGGGATTGCAAATATCCGTATTGAGATATTTAACTTACAGTAGAGCGTCGTTTATCAGAAGGTCGGTTATCCGAAACGTCGGTTATCCGAAGGAATACCAGTCGACAAATTTAAATTTTCGCCAGTGCTGTGGCACTGTAATCTTTGGCTATGTCTTCGGCTACTCAAATATTTTACGTTTTTGATATTAAATTAACTTCTGAAGTATAATTTTTTATTGTTTTTATATATTTCAATATATTTATTTTGTTTGTACAAAATAAAAAAATAATTTTTAACGATACAATAGTCTTCGTTAGGCTTAACATCGACGAAAATTCAACGCAAAGCGACACGCAACGGAGAAAAATTTCAACACAGGATAAATTAATATATTTATTCGTACATAATTGGTTATCCGAAAAATAAGTTATCCGAACAACCCCAGTCCCCAATTGATTCGGATAAACGACGCCCTACTGTATTTATTTTTTAAACACTTGAAAATGATCTGTGAAATTCTACATGACCATCTCATCAGTATCGAACAAACTAGCGAACAACTACAAATTGTTAAGTGGCTTCATCAACTTTTCCATACTTTGCTTCTTTCATCGATTATATTTCAAAATGTAGCAAACGTTTCACATTCAGTATAAGAATAACGAAATTTTAGCAGAAAATTATAAAAAAAATTATATTTGGGCATCCAATTGTTTACTGAATAATTACTTGGAATCGAATCCCGAAAGGAGAAAAAAGTTTCGTTGTTGGTCTGTCTCGGACACATTACTCCTGTCTTTTACCATCTCCGCTTCCCATTTTAGCCCGGCTATTGATAAGATAACCAGAGGCCAAGAACAGAGAAATATACAAATAACTATAACTAATTAATTACTGTTATTGTAATTAATTAGTGTGGCTAATTATTTTAATTACATATTTTCGAACTGACAATATCTATAGAAAGAGATAATTATCGTTAATCAATATCCACAAATACAATGCAATGCATAACGCATTTAAGAAAAGAGTGTAGAGAAACTACACTATAGAATATAGCCTAATAATTAGAATAAATTTAATATGTAATAGAATTCGAAAATAATCAAAAAAAAAATTACTCATGGATTATTTTCACAATTTCGAATTCACAAGGTATGTAAACAGTGATAGTGAGGTGGTTTGGACATGGCTCCAACATAAATTTAATTCTTCGGCTGTATCTAATTAACGTCGATCGTGGAATAGATATTTCTCTTCCGTCCACAGAATGTATTTGAACCAATTCCATTATATATTCTGATGCCAAATAAAATAAATTTTATTGATTACACTTTTGGATAAAAAGAGAAAAAACTATTGTTGATTTAGAGTATTGTTTCGTCATAAATAAATGTGTTTGTTTAAGCAGTTTACTGTAATTCTTTTAAATTAAGTTATTNTACGTTTGCACGTTTTCCCTTATTTAACGAATGATTTTTTCGCTTTTATTTACGAAATAATCGTAAAAATATTACACTTTATACATAAGTGTGGTTGTATTTGAACCAATTCCATTATATATTCTGATGCCAAATAAAATAAATTTTATTGATTACACTTTTGGATAAAAAGAGAAAAAACTATTGTTGATTTAGAGTATTGTTTCGTCATAAATAAATGTGTTTGTTTAAGCAGTTTACTGTAATTCTTTTAAATTAAGTTATTGGGAACTAGCAGGTAGGCCCGGCGTTGCTCGGGCAAAAGTAACGACAGCAAAGATTAATTAACATTATTATGTTATAGCCAATCTTACCCGTAACAGAATGCAAGAGTCGGGTCCCCCTGTTTCTGGACTAATTACAGAATTTTTAGATGGGTGTAAAAATATGTTCGATTTCCCGCAAAAACGAAAACACTGCATCTGCGTCTTGCACGTCGCTTTCTCTTAACAATTCCATTGTTACGTAACACTTCCATTGTTGATGGAAGTGTTAAGCCTTAATCCTGTCCCTCTCCCCCTTGGGGAGGAATTTCGAAAAATCCCTTCTTAGTGTGCGTTTTCGTGACATACTCTAACTGTGTACCAAATTTCAGCTTTCAACTCCAAACTGTTTGGGTTCTGCGCTTATTATTATTATCAACCCGTCTCGATTATATATATAGATTTGTTATTATATTCGATCAAACAACAAAAAGGCGATTAGTCCTTTCCGGAAATAAAATAACAAAACAATTTCAATTGTTTTTAATTAAGTAATTTAATTAAATATACTGATTTATCAGTAAATCTAATTGATATCATGTGTGAGAACGCCGCGTTAAGCTTAAAATAAGAGAATGCCGGTTCGTATATATAGATACCGAGTGAAATTCAACAGTTATAAATAAGGTCGTTCAAATTTATTTAAACACCAAATTATGCCTACAGATATAATTCTCATAGTGTAGAGCACGACTGTAAATCTTCAGTTTCTCTTGTTAAGAGAAAACGTTCTGATAAAAGAACTTATCCATGTCGACTACCCTAGTGTATTGTAGTAAAAAGTCCACAGCGAAGTTGATGTCAGTTCAGCACGAGTGTCGAAGGGTGCAGTGAAGAATGCAACCAAGAAAGGTATAGCATAACGAGAAACCAGAGAGAGAAGCTCTCTGTGTTCTTGGGACAGAGTTTTTATCAGTTTTAGTCTTAGATCAACTACTTCGATTGGTTATTTTTCCTCATACCCACTTTCTAATTGGTCGTTACTCGTTACTATGTGTAACGAGATCTAAACTCAGATCGCGAAATGAGACAAAATCGACATTTAATTCGATCTCAACTGGAGATCGATTATATGACTTACATTGTCTAATTTTCTATTGTTTAATTTCTGAGAAAAGTTTTTTTCTCTATTAAACCTAATATGTCCTTTTATAGACATAAAATTTGGTATTTGAATATTCACAAATTTAGATACGTTTAAATTTTACCTTAGTTCCAGATATTTCCAGAGTCTCACATATACCAATCCTTTATTAAATCTTTGAGTATAAAGAATTTCTTCCCAAAAAGAAATCTGCAACCATTACAGGTGCGTTTTTATAGATTTATTTCATCAATAATTATTTGAAAATTGATTTCATTATACGATATACAGTTTGAAAGAATTCTGATCGCATTAACTGTCTGGAACACTTGCCGTTTGGTTCTCTAATGTTCGATTCAGGATGCCACGGACGTAATTGACGCTTGCTAAGAAAATTCCTCTGCTTGATTTGTTCTTCTTGATACTTCGTAATAAACATAAAGACGTTGGCGAGAATAACCAATAGATTTCATTTTAACGTTTATCCTTCTTAGTTTTTGACCAGGCAGTAACTCGCGTATCTGTAGTTTACTAATAAAGAAAAATAATTAAAAACTGTAATAAAAGTGTAAATTTTCAAAATGCCTTTATAAACTTAAATACTCAAAATTAATTGTATTATTTCTTAAAAGTCGTAGTTTAATAAAACAAATAAACAAACAAACAAAAAGCTTAATTGTGGGGGTAAGGATGGGTTTATAAAAAGAAAAAAGTAAACACGAATAATGAATAAAATCGACATTAATTCCGAACCGACTCGAGATAAGACATACTTTTCGTTACGCTCTTTATCTCTACCAAAATTTCTATCACCAAAATTTAATAGAATCAATTCTCTTAATACACAAATTAATTACAGAAATCTGTAATGTTATAACCTACAGAACGAATTTTAGACGTATGGCATAAAATTTTAAGAAACTATAATACTGTACTTACAATGTAAATGATGTGCCAATATTTACAATTTCAAAACTAAGCATCGCTTATTATTATTTTGTATCGATCACGCCTTTATGCCAATATCAATCTTCACCCATGTATCGCGCAACACTAGCTGCCACGCGAGTGTTTGTTACATGTCAGGAGGTCAGCAGCAGAGAGCAGAGAAAAATGACTTATTTTGTTATAGCACCTTGTTTGTGCTTTTGATGGTACTTTATTTTCTTAACGCATGGTTACGCAATCATAATAGAGACACAATAACAGTCGTTACTCTGCATCATTGTCATATTGAATAATGAAAGTTTATGAAGTAATTAGAAACATGGTGCTCCGATAGAAAATTTACGACATTGTCTTAAACGTTTGAATCAAATTGAATTTTGTGTAAACACAGAAACGATCGCTAATTTAACATTTTTGTTAATATCGGCATTAATTTGCTGCTGTAGGTGACATATTAACAAACTCGCATGAAGAAAAACTAAAAGATTAAGTTTAGATTCAAATTTAAGTTTACGTTTGCACGTTTTCCCTTATTTAACGAATGATTTTTTCGCTTTTATTTACGAAATAATCGTAAAAATATTACACTTTATACATAAGTGTGGTAGAATGAACTGGGTTATATCGAATCATTTTATTTCTTATATAACGTCATATTTTTTACAAATTTTGCTCATAATTAAACATAAAAAGTTAAAAAAAATTTTAGAAATTTTGCAAAATTACTTATAAAACTGCAGTTCAAAAATAAAGTTTTACGTTACAATACAGATACTCTATATCTTTACTCAATGGCACAGTTTCTCCGGTTCTTATGGTCATTCCTTCATCTAGTATATAACGAATTGCGAAATTTCTAATTCGTATGTTACTTCCTGGGATATCATTATCATTAATTTTAGCTATCACAAGAACTATAGAAGATTTCTGAACATAAAAGACTCGATTCAATATAATTTTTCCGTTTGGCTCACAAATAGCTTTTTGTTCTTTGTCGATTTTCCAAATACCGCTTTCAAAAAAATTCATTACTTTTATTCCTATTTCTACTTTTCTGCTATGAAAAATTGGGAGTTCGATTCCAGTAATAAAACAATCTTCTACAACATATATCTCCGAAATGAAGTGGAACTTGTTTTCCATATTCATTTCTTTACCGAGAATGGAAGAACTTCGATTACAATATACGAACCAAGAAGTAGATTTTTCATTGTTCCTCGAGACATCTGTTCTACAAATGCTATCTGGAATCATTGAATTGTCAGATGTTGCTTTGTAGTGTTGTATGGCATTTACTTCTTCTTCTGTTAAGAATTGTTTCGGATATATATAACCCTTTAAAAATTCATCATCCATTGTAAGAAATCTGATGTTCGGTAAGAATGGAATCATGACTTGTCGCAGGGATGTATTCGAGTTAACTCTACGTCTTGCCCATTCGTAAACAATCTTAAAAATAGTCACCACGTCCAAATTTCGATACATAGGACGAGAGACGAGTCTACGAATCACAATTTCTCCACAGTCCAAAGCGATTTTACTTTGAAAAAATACCTTATCCCAATGATCATTAAACATCGTCCAACAAAAATATTGTAAGGTATAGTCAGTGCTTTCGCAAGCAAGCTCGTAAATTGCACAAATATGTGGTATATGAATAGGCTGGGCCAAATGAGTTCGGCAGTAATTAATTAATAAACGCATACACAATGTTCTGCTAATTCGATAAACGTCCATTGCATGCTTCAAAGAGTAAAATTTCGGAAATTGTTTTTTCATAAATCTATATATATGAGAAAATTACGAAAATTAAGATTAGATCAGAATGTGATATTTTAAGATATATTTAATAGTTTTATATTTTTATAATAAAGCTTTATTGCAAGCAATTAAACAGTAAGCTTTAGGCGTAATATACTATAAAATAATCCACTTATTTTCAACGTATTGAAACTCGTCTATACTGATAACAGTATAAGTAATTTCATGAAGAAAAGACTACAGGTTATTATTACGTGTATTAAAATAAAATTAAATGTATTGTAAAATTCAATGATGAAAGAGAAAACTTACTCATCGATTATCTTAATACTTTCGTATGCATAAGGCAAGTATAACGTGATAGATACGATGTTCGAATATGGCTTCAACATGAATTGTATTCTTGGGCTGTATTTTCGTAACTTTGATCGTGAAACCGATACTTCTCTTCCATCCACAGAATGTATTTGAATCGATTTCATTATAATTTCTTATGCTAAATTAATTAAATTTTATTGAATACACTTTTGGATGAGAAGAGAAGAAACAATTATCGATTTAAACTATTGTTTCGTCATAAATAAACATTTGCTTATTTCATTAATTCTAATAATTTAAATCAATTAACTTGTATTTTTACTTCTTTTTACCGTTTATCTATTTCAAACAGATTTTTTTTTCTACCGCAAAGCCGGAAACATGAACATGCTACACGTCTATTTTTTACGTATATAAAGCAGTTTGTTTTCGTCTACTATATAATTCCTAATGGTTTGTAAACACGACTTTATTTACACAGCTTATACAAAAATATTTATAAGAATGTCTGAAATGTTATCAATTTAATACACCTAAGTACTCAACGAAGACTTAACGTAGTTGAAAACAAAAGATCGCATCTAAAATAGTACAGTAGAAGCCGTTCTTCAGGTTAAGACTTAATCTTCTACCTCTCTCCCCACGAGGGAATTTCGAAAAATCCCTTCTTAGTGTGCATTTTCATGACGTACCCTAACTGTGAACAAAATTTCACCTTTTTGGTTCAACGGTTTGCTCTGAGCGATGATGAATCAATCAGTGACTCGTTCAGTTAGGACAAGTAATTTTATATATTTAGATAATGCTCCATACAAAATAATTTTGAAATATATTATATATATATGTATCCTATTGTCTAAAGAGATCCTATGCATAGAATTTTATAAAGGGATAAAAACTTATAAAACTGTTTAAAAATAATTTAATTAAACTTATATGGTTCTAGAAAATTAGGCAGTGAATGGCTAGCCAAAGATGTGTTTACTGCTCCTAAAAAAATAATTTTAATAAAAAACAAAATGAAAGTTCTTTTATTATCAATTTTAATTTAAATATCATACTATTTTAAAGTAATACTTACTCTAAAATCCTGGCGTAGATGTAAGATTATTCTTATATGTAAAAAGGGGCTTAGAGATTTACTTGATAATTATAGTGCAATTTCGTTACTAACGACAATTTTTAAAACTTTTTGTAAAATTTTATGTAAGCGATTGGTAAGTTGGTTGAATAAGTTTGAAGTATTCTCGGATTTTCAGGTTGGTTTTCGGTCATTTTTCAACAATGGACAACATTTTTGTTTTATATGCTTTTATTCAAAAGTCTTTAAAGAAGAAACGAAGTAAACTTTACGGTTTTTTCATTGACTTGGCATCGGTATTTGATTCTTTAGATAGAGATCTTTTGCGGAGGCAGCTTTTGAACATTGGTTTGTGCTATAAATTTCTAAATTTCTTGATTCAGTTATATATTAATACAGAGGCATGTGTGTATAATAAAGGGAGTACGTCTGATATTTTTCCTCACGTTAAAAACAGTGAAACAGTGTTGTGTATTGATCCCAATATTGTTTAATTTATGTCTAAATCTTCTTGTAAGAAAGTTTAGTGACTCCGAATTAGTGGGCATTGATCCTTTGAAAACGAACGTGAAATTCTTGACATACACAGATGATTTGATTTATACAGAATTGTAAAATAGAAGTACAGTAGATTTCCCTATAACACGGGATCCTATAGTTCGTAATCCTATATCACGGCAAAACATTGCGACAGTATTCGTACAAACATGCTTAAAAAAAACTCCTATAATTCGGTAAAACGTCATCGCCGACTCGTGTCGCGACAGGATTGGTCGAATCTGGACTAATAGTGAACGGGCATCCGAAGTATCTCCGGCTCTTATGGCCATTCCTTCATTTAATATATAACGAATTGCGAAATTTCTAATTCGTATGTTACTTCCTGGAATATCATTATCATTAATTTTAGCAATCACGTGAACTACAGAAGATTTCTGAACATAAAAGACTCGATTCAATATAATCTTTCCGTTTTGCTCACAAATAGCTTTTTGTTCTTTGTCGATTTTCCAGATACCGCTTTCAAAACAATTCATTACTTTTATTCTTATTTCTACATTTCTGCTATGAGAAATTGAAAGTTCAATTCCAATGAGGAAACAATCTTCTAGAACAAATATCTCCGAAATGAACTGGATCTTGTTTTCCATATTCATTTCTTTACCGAAAATGGAAGAAATTCGATTACAATATACGAACTAAGAAGTAGGTTCATCATTGTTCCTCGAGACATGTATTCTACAAATGCTATCTGGAATCATTAGATTGTCAGATGTTGCTTTGTAGTGTTGTATGGCGTTTACTTCTTCTTCTGTTAAGAATTGTTTTGGATATACATAGCCCTTTAAAAATTCATCATCCATTGTAAGAAATTGGATGTTAGGTAAGAACGGAGTCATGATTTGCCGCAGGGATGTATTCGAGTTAACTTTACGTCTTGCCCATTCATAAACAATCATAAAATAGTCATCTCGTCTAAATTTCGATACATAGAAGGAGAAACGAGTCTACGAATCACAATTTCATGACAGTCCAAAGCGTTTTCATTTAGAAAAAATACCTTATCACAAGGATCATTAAACATCGTCTAACAAAAATATTGTAACTTATAGTCAGTGATTTCGCAAGCACAAATTGCACAAATATATCATATTAACAAACGAACATTTGAATGATTTCCTCGGTGAAGCTCAACTTTGGTACAACCAATGGAAAGAAAGAAATGTGCCAAATGCCGAACTGAAAGTGATAGAACTAAATGCACTAATTAACCAAAAGCAAATGTTCTACCCATTCATAACGGGCGCATTTGCACAGCTGTGCATAAGATCCTACCCAGGGTAAAAACAATGACAAAAAATTTGGTGGTTAGTCTTTGAATGATGAGTGTTCTTAGAAAGAGAGTTCTGGAAGCTAAAAATATATTTGAAAAAGAAATTTTCACAAAATTTAACAAGAACTCCGTAGGAAAGTGCTGAAATAAGATTTAGATAAATTCGAATAGCATAGCAACTAACTACTTTTAGGGTTTTCAAATCTTCAAATAGAACCACCCTTTAATAAACAACGTTATCTTATTTTTGCTTCTTGGAAAAAAACTTGAATACGCTCTTGGTGCTTCTCCAATTCTCGAACCGTGTTTTGGAAATATCGGCTTATAAACAAATTATTCTGTAACTGAAAAATTGCTGATTACGTAATTTGAAAAGAATTACAATTAATAACAAAAGCGAAAGTTTATTTATTACGAAACATTAGTTTAATTCGACAATAGTATCTTCTCTTCTCATCCAAAACTGTATTCAAAAACATTTAATTAATTTGGCATAAAAATTTATAATGGAATCGATTCAAGTACATTCTGTGGATGGAAGAGAAATATCCGTTTCACGATCGGTGTTTCGTAAATACAGTCGAAAAATAAAATTCATGTTGAAGCCATATTCGAACAACGTATCTATCCACTTTTACTTGCCTTATGCATTCGAAAATATTAAGACAATCGAAGAGTAAGTCTTTTCCTACATCATTGAATATTACAATATATTTAATTTTATTTTAATACACGTAATAATAGCGTGTAGTCTTCTTCTTCATGAAATTACTTATTTAATGTTGACGTTANAAAATGTTGGCGTTAAGTGGATTCTTTTAAAGTGTATTATGCATAAAGCTTACTATTTAATCGCTTGCAATAAAGCATTATTATAAAAATATAAAATAATTAAATATATCTTATAATATCACATTTTGATCTATTATTAATTTTCATGATTTTCTTATATATAGATTTATGAAAAAACAATTTCCAGAATTTTACTCGTTGAAGCATGCAATGGACGTTTATCGAATTAGCAGTAAATTATGCATGTTTCTATTAAATAATTGCTGCCGAGCTCGAATAGCTCAGCCTACTCATATACCACATGTTTGTGAAATTTATGGATTTGCTTGCGAAATCCATGACTATAGATTACAATTTTACTGTTGGATAAAATTTAACGATGATTGGAACACAGTATTTTATCAAAATGAAAACGCTTTGGACTGTGATGAAATTGTTATACGTAGACTGCTTTCTCGTCCTATATATCAAAATTTGGACGAGATGACTATTTTTAAGATTGTTTACGAATGGGCAAGACGTAGAGTTAATTCGAAAACAACTCTGCGAGAAGTCATCGCTTTATTCTTACTCAACATCAGATTTCTTTCATTGGATGATGAATTTTTAAAAAGCTATGTATATCCGAAACCACTCTTAACAGAAGAAGAAGTAAATGCCATTCAACACTACAAAGTAACATCTGACAAATCAATAATTCCTGATACCATTTCTAGAAGTCATCTTTCGAGAAACCATGAGAAACATAGCTTTTGGTTCATATATTGCAATCGAAGTTATTTCATTCACTATCAAGAAATGAATATGGAAAACAAGTTTCAGTTTATTTCGGAGATATTTGTTCTAGAAGATTGTTTCGTCACTGGAATTGAACTCCCAATTTCTCATAACAGCGAAGAAAGTATAAGAATAAGAATACAGGAGTTTAATGACTATGGCAGTTTTAAACACGTAAAACAAAATAACGTAATTTGTGATCAGAACGGAAAGATTAAATTGATAGGAGTCATTTATGTTCCGAAATCTTCTACATTTCGTGTGATAGCTAAAATTAATGAAGAGGACATTCTACGAAGTAACATACGAATTAGTAATTCGGCAAGTCGTTACAGAATAAATGAAGGGATGGCCATAAGTTTTGAAAAAAGTGCTCTGTTGAGTACAGATATAGAATATATATATTGTAATGTAAATCTTTATTTTTGAAGAAGTTTAAAAGCGTCTCATAGAAAAATTTTTCAAAATTTCTATAATTTCTTTTTTAACATTTATGAGCAAAATTTGTAAAATATTATGATAATATACGGTACTTTATATAAGAAATAAAATCATTTGATGTAAACCAGTACATTTTACCGCACTGTCGTATATAGTGTAATGTTTTTTACGATATCACGCAAAATTGAAGTTTTTTATCATTAACTCATCCTGACGTTAACACACAAACAGAAAAGCACGCGCACACGCGCCCACATAAATCCACGAATTTTTTACGTTCTTTTTCGGATTTAGAATGTCTCATGTGAGTGAAGATTTGCAAAAATTTCTTTAATCAACTTTGACGGCAGTCCAATACTTTTCCGTGTTATATACATGATGAACCTATGAATGTTTAATTTTAAATTTATGGTAGGTTTATACTTATGAGAATGGAAAGTACAAAAGAAAATACGGATACGTCTGCTTAAGGCGTGGGAATATCATACGCATTTATCCTGTAGTGTTTTTATTCGTTTTCTTTGGTTTGTAAAAGAATGAAAAACATTTACTTCTTCTTTGTTTCGTAACCAAAAAAATTCTGTGTTTCGGTCAAGAAGAGTGATAGGATGGCAGGGCGCCCTATCACTTTTTTGGGCGGTTATCGTCTTCATCTAAGCCCTGAGACAACGTATGAAATCCGATGGATAGAAAAATTTTAGGAATTTTTTATTGGATTCGTCTGTCATGCTCTTAATTTAAACCTGGCCGAATCCCACGATGGATATATTCAAAAGTTTATCTTAATGTCTACAGAGTGGAAAGAATAAAAATTAAAAATAATGAAACCTATCAATATTTAAAAGTCATATAATAATCTTATATTTGAAGTTGTAAGCTTATTATATTATGATTTTTACTGTTTTTAGGTAATCTGTGCAATTTGCTCACTGCTGTCATCTCTTATTGAGTTAGAAAGAACAACAAGTAAAAAATGCTGATACATGTTGTGTAGAATTGGAAATTTTTCTAAAACAGATATTCTGGATAGGTTTGTAATAAAAAAACACTGGAAAGGCTCTTGCACGAATTTCCGAAAACTCGAACTCGAACTAGGAAGACAAGTACGATAATTTTTATTACACTACTATTTAAAATTTACACAATAATAAAAATTTACAAGGAATAATTTTGTTGAATTATGAGAAATTTCTTTATTGAATAAATAACTTATTACAATGCAAAACACTGAGAAACTGAAAGCATGCAGTAAAAAGGAATGGTGAAAAACTACGTTTAAAAGAAGCTCAAGGATATTGTTTACAAATTTTATACTTATAACTTGTTTATTTGAAACTGTTGAAATAGGAAAATCAATTACTTCGATATGGTAGTCACGAAAAGAAATATATAATACCAATTTTGCAAGTTCGAAAAAAGATACACTGTCAAGAAAATCGTTAACTTGAATTTCTCTTGTTTCACAGTAAAGGAATTAAATATGTTTATAAGAAACTCCTGCAAAGATGTTGAAGAAAGTAAGTGGAAAGAATCTATGCATTGAGAAATTAATAACATTTTAACAGTTCTAACATAAAAATGATGAAAATGATTAAATTATTTGACACTTACCTTATTAAATGGAAACTCGGATGCATAAATTTAAATCCAATATAGGCATCGGGGAAACCCAGAAACTTCGTCAATGACTGTGAATCGTGATTTAGATATATGACCACTTTTCGAAGCGTCTGGAACCAATCGGTTTTAGGCGCATAGAGCATTGTGCATTGTGCATATACAGTGCATTGTGTATAATTTTTTTCAACTTGTAGTTCAGCTGTTAATTATTAATGAAATAAATCCAGTATCATTATTAATGTTCAGACAACCATTCAATACTCGACACACTTCCATTTTATTTCAACACGCGATAAGAGTGAAAAAGCTGAATAGTGTTAAATATTTCACTTTACAAAAATCCTATCTTCCTTCGTTAGACATCGTGTTTATAATTAGAGCGTGTTGTTTGTAGCTCGATGGGCTGGCCATTTGGAGTTATCCGGATTTTCTTCACCCGTCTGATTCCTAAATAGGAGCGGGTATATTTTCCTTAGAAACTCCTTTTCTCTTTGAGAGATCGTCTTACCTCACAATCCTACTTAAAAATAATTAATTTTATTGTACGAATTGCGACGTTATAACTTAACCTCTACAACAGTCATAGAACGTTTTAAAAGTGTAATTCTACGAGTAAATCTATCACTCGAAGTTCTCTTGGTCACAGAAATATTATCTCGGTTTAATCATTTTCCGCATTGTTATTCCTACTTTTAATGAAATTTACGCAACAAATCACACAATAATTCCAAATAATATACCTTATCTATCATTTAAACTTTCCACGCGTTTATTGAAGTAGTCTTTTGGTGCACAGGTATGACAGATTAACGTCGAGATAAACTTCAATTTTTGATTGATAATACGAATTCGTCGAGTTAATGTTTCCGAATGACAATAGAAATCAATTTATAACTTGTGTAACGCGCACAAACACTGATATCATCGATTAACCGTTACCGATTTACATATATTAATCAAGCAAAGTCATAGCTTCGATCCGCAATAACTCATTGGTCATTTCATCAGAAATATCAAACGATCGGGTGTTTTATCAGTTACGACACCTTTGACGTCATTTTATCGATTACCGTCATTTTGATAAATAATTGAAAATCGTCGAAAGTCGTGTGAAAAATTAACGAATGATGACTTTATTTTTCATTATGTTAAAATTGAGGTTTTGTAAAAATTTCGTAAATAAAAGCTTCGTAATAAGATAAAACTTTTGATTTCGCAACGATAAAAATGACAATTTAATTCCATATTTTAAATTATTTCTATTTCCGTTAAGATATAAAATTTTATTAAGTTAATTTTAAAATTTTTTGACTCTTTTGCTCTGAGGGCACTAAGAAGCACTTTTTCATATTCGTTATGTGTTTTGTTGGTTTAGTTTGGTTTATTTGGTTACGGCAACGTGACGCGATGGTACATCGCCCGATCTGCCAAGGGGATACCACCCGGAAGGACTTTTTCATAAAAGTTGTGGAAAATGGCTCCTATTTAGATGTTACAAACGCGAAGAAATACACCTAGCCAGCGCGTTGGCCGCGACCACCGACAGTGATTTTATCCACTTCGGCCACTGATGGGATCGTGGGTTCGGTCACGCCGGCAACGGTTAGCCAGGTAGTGAGGTCGTCGCTGACACAAATTTCAGTGCGAACGAGCTATTATTTATTGTGACATCGGGCTGCAATTTCTCGTCACAATTCTATCAATTTTAGTAGCGTCGTTCCCCTGTACGTCATACTTTTTCCTTTAACAATACTCAAGGGGTCATCTATCTAACTCCGTTCGGGAGAAAATTTTGATTTGAAGTAACGTGACTTCCGCTCCAAACCAGAAGTTCGTCTATACATAATTGGGCTCTTGTTCTTAAACCTTCCATATTTGGTCTCGATTTTCATCTAACTCCGTTCTGTAGATCAAGGAAGAATGGGCGGACAAACAAACAAACGGATCAATCGGTCCAGTCGGTCATAGTGTGAAACAGCCCTTAGTATTAAATACGGTTTTAACCATAATATCAACATTTAGTTTCAATTAAACATTCGAGAATATCACGTTAATTAATGATATAAGAAAATGTTATGAAAAAATAAATGGAGAGAAAAATATACATTAGTATACAGTCGCTTTCCATGGTCACTAAAAAGAAACAATTAGTTGTTGTGGAAGTTTCACAATTGTAGGCTGCGATATTTAATTTAAAAAGTCACCTAACTTTCTGTCCAGAGTGAATGTTCGTATATAGTTAGTAGTGGCCTCAGCACCTAAAATTTCAATATCTGATCTCGATTGTCTTCTAACTTTGTTCTCAAAATAAACAAAAAAACTCAAGGACAATTAACAAATTTAGTGTTATTAAACATCCTATAAATACTGTACTTTAAAATAGTTTAATTTGTTTATTACCTTCGCTGGTAACCCCGGATGTTAAATATATTCGCCATTTTAGCAATAAATTTTCCGTGAGTCAATGCGCGACGTTCACTGGGTCACGTGATGTTGTGAACGTGTGACGCAACAGTTTTTTCTTGGAGTTAAAACGTAAACCCTGTACTTCTGCTTGCCGTGTACAAGTAACGTTTGAACTTGCGCCGCAACCTCTCTTTTGAATTTATCTCTAAAAAGTAAAAGTCGAACGTCGAGAACCGCTATCTTGCAAGCGGCGCTCAACGTTCGACGCGTACGTTTCAGAGATGAAAACTTCGGTCATAACATTTTTATTAACTCCTAAACTTTCTTCCAATCTGTAACAAATTTTTTCTACTTTTTCTCTGGACTCCGAGGAAAATATAAACCTCAATGCAAGCTGAACTCCTCACACTCTTCCAGATTAGGTCTCCTTGATACTTCGTAATAAACATAAAGACGATAGGCTAGAATAACCAATAGATTTCATTTTAACGTTTATCCTTCTTAGTTTTTAACTAGGCAGTAACTCACGTGTCTGTAGATTACTAATAAAAAACAAATAATTAAAAACTCTAATAAAAGTGTAAAGTTTACATTTGCACTTTTACTTTATAAATAAATAATTTTTTTCGCTTTTATTTACGAAATAATCGTAAAAATATTACACTATATACAAGAGTGCAGTAGAATACACTGGATTACATCGAATCAAATTATTTCTTATATAACATCATATTTTTTTTACAAATTTTGCTCATAATTAAACCTAAAAGGTTAAAATAAATTATAGAAATTTATTTTAACTTTTTAGGTTTAATTATCATTAATATTAGCAATCACATGAACTATAGAAGATCTCTGAACATAAAGGACTCGATTTAATATAACCTTTCCGTTTTGCTCACAAATAGCTTTTTGTTCTCTGTCGATTTTCCAGATACCGCTTTCAAAAAAATTCATTACTTTTATTCATATTTCTACATTTTTGCTATGAAAAATTGGGAGTTCAATTCCAGTGAAGAAACAATCTTCTAGAACAAATATCTCCGAAATGAACTGGAACTTGTTTTTCATATTTATATCTTTACCGAGAATGGAAGAACTTCGATTACAATATACGAACCAAGCAGTAGGTTTATCATTGTTCCTCGAGACATGATTTCTAAAAATGCTATCTAGGATCATTGAATTGTCAGACGTTGCTTCGTAGTGTTGTATGACATTTACTTCTTTTTCTGTTATGAATTGTTTCGGATATACATAGCTTTTTAAAAATTCATCATCCATTGTAAAAAAAGCGAATGTTGATTAAGAATGGAGCAATGATTTGCCGCAGAGATGTTTTCATGTTAACTCTAAATCTTGCCTATTCATAAACAATCTTAAAGACAGTCCGTTTCTTCAAAGTTCGATATAAAGGGCG